TCAAACAAGCTTTGCTAAATAATAGGCTTTATAAGATGATCCCTTCTCAAATTCAGGACCAGAAATGTAAGTAATGGAAAGTGTGTGTCCCCCCCCCCCATATATCCATTATTTATACTATTGTTAAATTAAGGAAAACACTATAGAGTGGGTTAGACATGGTAATCTGTTGAAGCAAAAACGTTAACTGAGAGTCTGGTAGTTCCTTAAAAACTACCAGGTTTTTTAGATTCTGTAGATAATTGATAATTAGTTGATAATTAGTTTGTTGAATATGTCGAGTACCAGAGTGGCTTGGATTTACATCAAGTTGATTTAAATCCTGATTTAAATTACTAGTCAGTAAGAATCGATTTAAAATGTTTTTTAAATCTAAAGACTCATTCTTGCTGGTAGCTATAATTTTTAATATTTGCAACTAGATGAAGATTTACTATTTAGAATAATAGTGTCAGATTATTAAAGGTTATATCAGAAGTGATGTTAGTTTAATAGGTTAATCACTCATATTTGGAGAACTATTTTAGGTAAAGGTAAAGGTTCCCCTTGACATTTTAGTCAGTCGTGTTTGATTCTAGGGGGCGGTGCTCATCCCCGTTTCCAAGCCGCGTAGAGCCAGCGTTTGTCCGAAGACAATCTTCCGTGGTCACATGGCCAGTGCGACTTAGACACGGAACGCTGTTACCTTCCCACCAAGGTGGTCCCTATTTATCTACTCGCATTTGCATGCTTTCGAACCGCTAGGTTGGCGTCCCTGAGAACTACTTAAACTGTTTTATTTAACTAAAACAAGAACATTATGTAGCATGCATATTATTGCATTTGCTTAAACATCAATGTTTATTAAATAGTTAAACAAAATAACTTTTTAAAAAGCAAACTGTCTTCCAAACAATCTTCAAATCTAGTACAGTGGGGTCTTGATTTGAGAACTTAATCCGTATTGGAAGGCGGTTCTCAAGTCAAAAAGTTCTCAAGTCAAATCTGCATTTCCCATAGGAATGCATTGAAAACCATTTGATCCGTATCTGCTCTTTTCCGTCCATAGAAACTAATGGGAAGCTGCTATTCTGCCTTCGACCACTAGAGGGGGATATTTTGTTTCTTTTTTTCTTAGGTCAAGAAAGGTTCAGGGAAGGCAGGGAAAATACAGTCCAGGCAGTACAGTACCAGGCAGTCCGAAGACTGTCTCCCAATCCACTCTCTAAACGCTGGGAGGAGTGAGGAAGCAGACAGGCACCCTTTTCACTGGCCAACAGTTAACTGAAAGTTCAAATTTTGCACTTTCCCTGCCTCCCACGTGGTTTTTTTTTCAGTTCTTAACTCAAATCTAAGTCCTTAAGTCAAGTCAATATTTTCCTATGAGAGTGGTTCTTAAGTCAAAATGTTCTTAACTCGAGCCGTTCTTAAGTCAAGACCCCACTGTATTTAAGGCACAGCAGGAGCTCCCTTATCCACAGAATCAGAATCTGCTGAGTCACTTATTTGCTGCCTGAAAATGTGAAATACCCCTGAAATATGTAGAGTTGTGCCTTGACTTATGAACGGCCCTACTTACGAACAGCTCCGGGTGCAAAATTTTGCTTTGACTTGCGAGCGGAGCTTTGACTTACAAACAGAAAAAAAGTGGGGAAGGCGGGGGAAACGTGAAATTTGACCTTTCAGTTAACCGTTGGCCAGCAAAGGGGCTGCTTATCTGCTACCTTGCTCGCCCCAGTGGTTATAGAGTGTGGATATTGAGAGAGACTTCAGACTGCCTGGTACTGTACTGTACGTACTGTATTTTTTCTGTATTTTTTTAAATTTTTGATTTTTGAATTTGGGCTAGGTTATGTTTCTGTGCTCCAATGGGTCTTGGAGACCCTTTCTGCAAGGGTCTGTGCTGGCTGGTGTGCTCTAAAATGGAGTTTGGTTGCTGGGTTTGGTTTAAAATGTGTTGGTGTAAAATGTTAGGGTTTAAAATGTGTGGGTTTAGCATGTGTGGGTTTAAAATGTGTTTGAGACTCCAAACTCCCCCCATTGTCTTCTCTCTCTGTGTCTTCTCTCTTTTTGTGCTTAAAAGCACAAACCTTTGTTTGAGGGGTCTGTGTGCCCCAGTGAGGACCTTCTTTCTTTCCTCTTTTCCTCATTGTTCCCCCCCTCCCTCCTTTCCTGACCTTTTTTAAAACCTCAGTCATCTTAGGTTAAAAAAAATCTCCCCCTAGTGGTAGAGGACGGTTTAACTGGTTTTGCATTAGTTCCTGTGGGAACTAATGCTTTGACTTACAACCGGCACCTCTACATATAAACGAAAAACAGCCGGAATGGATTAATCAGGTTTCTGTGCATTTCAATGGGAAATGCTGATTCGACTTAAGAACATTTCGACATGCGAACATCTTCTGGGACGGATTAAGTTCGTAAGTCGAGGCACCACTGTATTTATATGTATTTCCAGGGTGTATTTAGCAGAACTGGCCACTAGAGCACATGTGTCAAACTCAAGGCCCGCGGGCCAAATCTGGCCCACCGGGCTGTCTCATGTGGCCCTCACAGTGTTGCCTGCTGCTGTGCAGTATACAATATGCAGGCGCTTATTACCCTACCCATAATGCTCCACAAGGAATGCTGGAAATCCACCCAATGGGACTTCTAATCCCAGCATTCCAAGTGCAAAGAGTCAGAAAGTGCAGCTGCTTGGGCAGCGTACAGCGCAAAATGTATGCAGTATACAATATGCAGGCGCTTACTCGATTACCCATAATGCTCCACAAGGAATGCTGGAAATCCACCCAATGGGACTTCTAATCCCAGCATTCCAAGTGCAAAGAGTCAGAAAGTGCAGCTGCTTGGGCAGCGTACAGCACCTTGCAAAATGTAGTCCTCACTATATAATATGATAAGGAGGAGATACATTTATATACTCTTACAGGTACAACCGGCTGATGTGGCCCAAGTTGAAATTGAATTTGACACCTCTGCATTAGAGGGTTCCAGAGACCATGCAATGTATAGCGTTCACTACATACACATTTTTCAGCATCTGCAGGGAAGTTACGTATGCTGTACTGCCTTCCTACTGTAATGTGTTTATTGTTTGTTCATACATTGGCAGAACAACAATAGGATTAAGGTCTTTTCCTGAACTTTATTTATTTTATACCATTTTTACTCTGAAGAAGTGCATGTTATCTCAGCTTGGATAACTTGGGTTAATTGAATTTGTTTACCAAAAATGTAAATGTTGTATCAATATATAGTCTCATGCTACATGACTAAGCTCTATTTCATGCTGATTAACCTTTGAACTATACTGTATCTTAAACAGAAGACTATCTAGATAGATTTTTGCACCAAAAGCATTTTGTTAAAATAAATCTGATTTTAATTTTAAAAATCTCTTTTAAAATTTTTAAAAATCATTTATTTTAGTTCACCCTGGTGAGTATTGTGGTTGAAATGTGCAGTTATGTAAATGACATAAGGTTTAGAAGGAAATTGCTGCAAGTTAAGAAATCTCTGTTGACCTTGTATGGTGCACATTGAGTCATATGAGAGGATTTCAGCCATTGTCTTCAGAGACTGAATTTAATTCATGGTTCATTGTTGTATTTAATTCCATTGCAGTGATTCACAGTGTGCTGGAGATCTGCTCTATTATTTCTAGTATAGACCGTGCCTTTCATGCAAATACATGGAAATTCATCATCAAGTAAGTTTTAATGTCATTAATGTTATCTCTTATATAACATGGAATTTTACACAGTTTATATTGGGTACCTATATAATAGCTTATGAACTATTTTGTGAATGATTTGTGAATAGCTCATGTTTATGAACAGTATGATCCACTGTTAAAATTCAGACAGTATGATCCACTGTTAAAATTCTTGCATTTAAAGCAATATAGTTCTGTAGATTAAACTGACTAAAACTAATTATTTTACATGATGGATTACGTGACTAATTTATACATTTGGTCATTTCTACTTCTGCTTCATTGACTATGCAAAAGCCTTTAAATGTGTGGATCACAATAAACTATGGCAAGTTCTTAAAGAAATGAGAGTGCCTGACCACCTTACCTATCTTCTGAGAAATCTATATGTGGGACAGGAAGCAACAGTTAGAACTGGATAAGGAACAACTGATTGGTTCAAAATTGGGAAAGGAGTACAACAAGGCCGTATATTGAATACATCATGCGAAAGGCAGGACTGGAGGAATCCCAAACGGGAATTAATTATTATTATTATTATTTATTTTATTTATATCCCGCCTATCTGGTCAAACAAAGACCAAGATTCCCGGAAGAAATATCAACAACCTCCGATATGCAGATGATACCACTCTGATGGCAGAAAGTGAGGAGGAATTAAAACCTCTTAAAGAGGATGAAAGAGGAGAGCGCCAAAAATGGTCTGAAGCTCAACATGAAAAAAACTAAGATCATGGCTACTGGTCCCATCACCTCCTGGCAAATAGAAGGGGAAGATATGGAGGCAGTGACAGATTTTACTTTCCATGATCACTGCAGATGGTGCCAGCAGCCATGAAATTAAAAGACAGCTTCTGGGGAGGAAAGCAATGACAAACCTAGACAGCATCTTCAAAAGCAGAGACATCACCTTGTCAACAAAGGTCCACATAGTCACAGCTATGGTTTTTCCAGTAGCAATGTATGGAAGGGAGAGCTGAACCATAAAGAAGGCTGACTGCTGAAGAATTGATGCTTTTGAATTGTGGTGCTTGAGGAGACTCTTGAGAGTCCCTGGACTGCAAAGAGAACAAACCTATCCATTGTGATGGAAATCAACCCTGAGTGCTCACTGGAAGGACAGATCCTGAAGCTGAGGCTCCAATACTTTGGCCATCTCATGAGAAGAGAAGACTCCCTGGAAAAGATCCTGATGTTAGGAAAGTGTGAAGGCAAAAGGAGAAGGGGACAGCAGAGGACAAGATGGTCGGAGAGTGTCACCGAAGCTACGAACATGAATCTGACCAATCTCCGGGGGGCAGTGGGAGACAGGAGGGCCTGGTGTGCTCTGGTCCATGGGGTCACAAAGAGTCCGACATGACTTAACGACTAAACAACAACAACAACAACAATTGTTGATTGATAATAATAATTGCATGCTTCCTAGTAAATTCTGACCTATGGCAACCCTTTTTCAGGCTTTTCAAGGTAGAAATGATAAGTCAGAAGTGGTTTACCATTCCCTTCTTCTTGGGGTACCCTTAGTCTGTGTAGCTTTGCCAAGGCTACACAGGCTGGTTCTTTTCCCAGAAGGCACAGTTGGAAATCGAGCTCTCAACCTCTGGCTTTGCAGCCAGGTACCTAAACCACTGAGCTATCAAGCCAGCGTTGTGGCTTATGCAGCTGATTTAATGTTTGGTCATTCATATGCTCCCGATCTCCCATGGTAATTCACCATTTAATCATAGCATATCTTTTTTAATCTGGAGATGGGATGGCCCTGGGCTAATCAATTGGGAAATGGAAGTTCTCTGTTCTCTCTCTTAATCCCTATAGAACTGTCTCATCCTTTTTCATATCACAACCACTGAAAAGTTTCTGTGGGCAAGCTTGTAAAATTCTTGACTCCATGGTGAAATCGGGCATGCATAGGATACCAAAACAAGATGGATCTGAAATGGACACTTGTAGTGTATTACTGAATCATGCCTTCAATGTGCCGTACCAAAACAAGATGGATCTGAAATGGACAGCTGTAGTGTATTACTGAATCATGCCTATAGGACACCAGCTAGCCATGTCTTTCTTTTGGACTCTCCATCTCTTCTAGTTTTCTTTTCTCATAGACACATAACTTTTGGTACAGTGGTGCCTCGCTTAACAGGAAAATCACTGTTAAGTGAAAACATCGTAAAGCAAAATTAAAAACCCCATTGAAATGCATTGAAACCCGCCCAATGGGGTAAAAACTCACAGTCTAGCAAAGATCCTCCATACGGCGGCCATTTTTGGTGCCTGTATAGCGAGGAATCTGTCCCTAAGCACAGCGGGGAGCCATTTTAAGCACCCGGTGGCCATTTTTAAACCCTAATGATCAGCTGTTTGCCATTTTTGTTGCCTGTATAGCGAGGAATCCGTCCCTAAACACAGCGGGGACCCATTTTAAGCACCCAGCGGCCATCTTGAAAACCCGACGATCAGCTGTTTTTGATAATCATAAAGCGAAAATCATAAAGGCACCACTGTATTTGTCAAACATTTGGCCATAGTCAGTTCTCATCTGGCTGCTGGGAGGGCTGCCCACTTAGCCCTCCCCGTTTTAAAGTAAGACTTGGTTTGGTTTGGGTTGGTTTGGTTTGGTTTGGCTTGGTTTGGTTTGGTTTGGTTTGGTTTGGTTTGTAATGGACTTGTAGTGGACCTAATATGCTGAATATTTTAGAACTGTCCATTGTTTTTTCTTGTCAGGCAGAGTCTCAGGCATAAGTCACTGATAAGGAACAGCTTGAAACATTCTGATATCTACAGTGGCCTTTGTGAAAACATCTTGTTTTCTTTGGAGTCTTGTTTGCAGCTAGCTGAACAGATGACACAGTCTGGAACCCAGGTGAATGCTTTATTACATATGAGCATGCTGGCCTTGATAAGCTGACTTCTGAAAAATACTGCCATTAAAGATCCAAAGGGGTTATTTATTTATTTTATTAGACTTCTAGACCAAAGGTCTACTCTTCTGTTATGACTGAAGGCTCTAGCACAGGGATCCCCAATCCCCAGTTCGCGGACCGGGCCACAGAGACAAAACTCCCGCCCCCCTGCTCATACTCCCCCCTGCACGCCTACCTGCACAGCTCCTTTGCACATGTGTGCGAGTGCATGCCCCCACCCCTTTGCACATGCGCACGAGTGTGTGTGTGCACTGCATGAGCGCTCTCCCTGGGACGCCTGTTCAGTCTCTCATGCTCAAGACTTCTAAATCTAAGTCCACCTCTCACTCTGCCAAACCTAAATCTAAATCTATTTCTTTGAAAGCTGAGAAGACGGTGTGGCGATCCCCCTTTGCGCCCTTTATACCTCTGGGCTCCACAAAGGTAAATACGCCCTTTTCGCTGCCACCAGGTATTATACTAATACCAAATCAAATCCCACACACTCAGGAGCTGTCACCCCAAAGGGCCATACAATTTCAGAAGACAAGGGTTTTAAACAAACATTCTTTTATTATTGAACAGAATCATAAGTATAATCAAATGTAACTGTGTTATATATTCATGTGTGTTAAATCAGGTGTTAACGTGTATCAGATCATGTCAATATTTCTCTTGATAAACTGATGAGATCATTCCTGCTTGTCCAATATGTTTTATTCTTTCAATTTCTTTTCTTAACCCTTTTTGTTACTCCTATGCCCTAGCACTGTTTCAATAACTTCTGGTCCTTAACTCTCTCTGAACCTCATTCCAACTCCTAACTGTCTCTCCCAGCTGTTCCAACTGTCATTCTGGCTCCGCCCCTCCTGCTCCATCCCCTGATTGACATGCAGGAATGACGTCATACCTTGGGTACGGCCCCCCCTGCTCATACTCCCCCCTGCACGCCTACCTGCACAGCTCCTTTGCACATGTGTGCGAGTGCATGCCTCCGCCGCTTTGCACATGTGCACGAGTGTGTGCGTGCACTGCATGAGCGCCTCCCACCCCTTTGTGCATGTGCGCGAATGTGTGCATGCATTGCACGAGCACCCCTCGCACATAGACCTCATTCCTCCCCCAACCGGTCTGTGGTGTTAAAAAGATTGAGGACCACTGCTCTAGCATATTTACATACTTGACAAGGCTGGAAGGTAGGACATCATCCAAACTGTTGCTTGAGTTATAGTTATTCTTAAGAAATTAATCTTAAGATATGATGTGGCTGTTACTTCTTTATCCTAGTATGCTTGTTTAGATGAAACCATAACCTACCAGTGATTTCTTCAGTTTGCAATTTCAATTTTGGGATTGGGTTTAGCTCCAGGCCATTTTTCCCTAATGTTTCTCTTTCTTATCCTTTTCTTAAAAATCAGTTATCTTGGTGTAACATTCTGGACAATTTGAAAGCTTTCACTTGCTTGTGGCATTATGATTGGTCCTAATAAAGGTCTGTCTTTTAATTACATTGGAGTTCCTATATGCACACAGAGGAGAGAATAGAAGAGACAGATTGTTGTGTCAGGTGGCATCCTGGGCTGTTGGAGCGGAAAAAAACAAACAAAAAAAAACACACACCTGGCTAGGCAATGATTCAGTACTGTGAATTTGAACTTCAGTATTTCTTTTCATTTTGGTAGGAGACCACCGATTATAAATTGTTCCAGAGGACAATCAAATTGTGTAGATTTTTTGCCAATTCTCTGGTACACTATACCAAGGTAAGATCTAGTAATGCACTTTCACTAGAGGGGGCATAATAATTTTGCAGTAAACTGTTCTGCCCAACCAAGAGCATAGTTACACTGTGAAAATAAAATCAAGTTCAAGGTTTATGAAATTGTTTTGAAGTTACTTGATAGCCATGTGGTTTTTGGGTTGGTGTGTATCCTTTTGGGAAAACTTTAAATCTGTTTTTAGAATGTGTTGAATATTGGTGGAGGGGGCTACATAGGCTTTTAAAAATGTTGCATTTGAGTCCTTGTCCTGCATCTGCCTGCCCTCATGCTGCTGCACTTGTTGCTGCTGGGTTATTTTTAATATATTTTTAGTTCTTTCTAAGTGGGATAGCGATGGTATGACATGCCTGATGGGGGAAAGCCCAGATCGGATTGCAAATGTTCACTGGAGCCAAGACATGCGCTAGGAGACAGAGAAAATCACACATACACAGGGGGGCAGGGTGAAGACAGAGAGTGAGGGATCCAGGACAGGAGCTGGGCTGGTGAGACTTGCAAGCCAATAGGGAGAGAAAGGTCACAAAACAAAATCTACCCTTCAGACAATTTTAGATATAGTGAGATCCCACAACGAAGAGGTGAAATTATTCAAGGAGCAGTTAAAGAAGGACTATAGTCAACAGGAGACAGGGAATAATGAACAAGGAAATGAGATGGCGGTGGATGATGTATGCCAATCAAAGGAGGGGCTGGAGGAAATTAGAGGAGAAAACCTAGGAGATCTAATTCTAACCCTGGAGCCGAGGAGAGTTTTAGGTGTGCTAAGGGAAGATAAGGGGAGAGAACCAGTAGATTTAATTAAAAATAGCCTGGAAGATCTATTGGAAATAGATCAAGTGTGTAAACTGTTCTCAGATGGCACAAGGGACAGCAGAATTTTTAGAGAGATAGAAACAAGAATTGGGAAAAGACAAATACGAGAAGGAGTTACTTAGAAAGAAGAAAAGGGAAAAATATTAAGGTGGCTTTCAACGTTGAAAACATGTATATACAGTACCTAACTTCTGGAATTGTAAGGGGGCATATCCTATATAGTAGAAAAGGGAATTGAATTGAAATAAGGAATCACTAATCAGGGTAAAGGCATAACCTCCCTTATTTGGACAAAATTTGGAGAGGGTTGTGGCCGGGTAACTCCAGGCGCTGCTGGATGAAATGGATTTTCTGGATCCATTTCAATCGGGTTTAAGAATGGGTTTTGGTATGGAGACTGCCATTCA